CCAAGCCAGGATTAATAGTTCTTTAAGAGAGAGATTATTCAGTAAATCCTCATAAAACACGAGAGGTTTGCTAAGCCCAGTCAACACTGTGTGATCAGCTTGAAACTCAGTTTTCCATCAGTCCCTCACATAGTTGCAATAAAATGAGACCGTGGGGACAGCATCGTGGGGACAGCGGTTGGAATGAGACAGGCCCGTTGGGGAACATAACCCTCACAGGCAGCTTTCCCGCTCCTTGAATTGCTTGTCACCTCTGCCATGGTCCACCTAGCCCCCAAGCTGGCTGCTGAGAACCACCCTCCACCCTCTGTCGTAGAGTATGGGCTCCCTGTCCTCGCCAGACGTTCCATTCTCAGCCTTCTCTCCTTCCTTTTCCCTGCTGGTTTCAGCAGGTGAAGACATGTCTCCTTGCTAGGACAAACGTGTGCTGGCAGCAGAGCCCCCTACCACCCTCCTGCTGGGCGGGCTCTGTGCTTTGGGCCGACCCTTGTTCTCTATGTTTCTGCCTCTGATGCAGGAGCTCTGTTGTCTGGTTTTCCTAAAAACAGAATTTATATCAAAATGACCCAAAACTGTGGTTCAGTTTAGTCCTGTTTGTCCTTTTTTCTAAATAGATATTTTTGGAGTTGAGTTATTGAAGGATGGTGCTGTGTTTGAATATTTGGCTCCTCGAAAACTCCTGTTGAAATGTAACCCCCAGCGTGTCAGGACTGAGAGCTGGGGCTGTTCAGAGGAGCTGGGACGTGAGGGCTCTGCTCTCGACAATGGGCTCATGCATTCCTGGATCCATGGGTTAACATGGGAGTGGAACTGGGGTTTGTAGGAGGACGAAGAGAGACCTAAGCTAGCACATGCAGCCCCCTTGCTGTGTGATGCTCCATGCCACCTCGGGATTCCACAGGGAGTCTCCACCAGCAAAACGTCCTTCAACAGATGTGGGGCTTGACCTTGGACTTCTCAGCCTCCAGAACTATAAGAAACAAATTCTTTTTCTTTAGAAACTTTTCAGTTTTACATTTTGAAGTATTGACTGGTATTTTGTGTAACCAGTCAACCAAAATACAGGGCTACCCACTCAGATTTAACCTAGAATATGCGTGCGTATTACTGAAAGACTAGCTCCAACTCTCGGAGTTTGAATGTTCGCAAAATAATGAGTTTTCAGGCCGCCCCCTTCTGAGATGCTTGACTCACGTAGCAACTTTTGCCCTCTTTTTTGCTAGATGTAAATGAATGTGCGACTGGCTTCCACCGCTGTGGCCCCAACTCTGTGTGCATCAACTTGCCTGGGAGCTACAGGTGTGAGTGCCGGGGCGGGTACGAGTTTGCAGGTGACCAGCACACCTGTGTCTGTGAGTACCAGAATCCTTTCTCTTTTGGCTACAATGGTGCTGAATCTTGCTTTTTAATCCACTAATGTTTCCATGTCTGTTATACAGAAGCTTTGGGATGTGATTTCCTTAAAAACACAATTTATACCAAAATAACCCAAGGCTAAGGCTCAGCCCAGCCTTTTTGTTTGTTTTCACTGTTTTTCCCTAAATAAAAATGTGTGGTGGTGTCACTGAAGGATGTTCAGTGGTGTCCCTGTGTGTCTAGGTAATTGGGCTGGTCATGTAACAAGACTACCAGCCTCTCTAGGAAAGACCCTCAGATCTGGAAAAGCTCAAGTATTTCTCAAGTTAGAATGCAGTAGACTTGTGAATCACAGGTGCTTATCTAATAAATTACACCCTTGCTAGGGTTGCAAAAGATGCTTCAGGCCTAAACGTGGATTCACAAGAACTAGAATTCCAAACTCATCCATTGTTAGAACTAGAGGATGATAGAGAAAATAGCTGCTTTAATCCAGGGGCATAAAAAAGTAGCAGAGGCAGGAGAAACCCTGTGTGTCCTGAACTTTAACGTGCGGATGAACCAGCCAGCCTTGGCCATGGACGAGACTGTGACTCGCTGGCCTGGGCACCTGCATCCCCCACAAGCCCCAGGTTGTGCCCTGAGGAGTGAGGCTCCCCCTTCATGGGCGACCTTGCCTTGTCTTTTCAGCGACCACCCCGCCTCCCAGCCCCTGTGAGGATGGCAGTCACAACTGCGCTCCTGCCGGCCAGGCCCGCTGCATTCCCCACGGAGGCCTTGCGTTCAGCTGCGCCTGCCTGCCTGGCTACACGGGCAACGGGCACCAGTGTTCCGGTGAGTACTCACCGTCAGCCTCAGGGATCGACGAGTTGTCTTGGGTCCACATCCCCACACCGATGGGACCTCTTCCAGAAAGGGCCTCTCCCTCTCTTTGACTCAAACATCTTTTCAGTTGCCAAAAGAGAAAGAGAAAAGGCGAAGTTTGGGTCTGAAAGGAGAGATGAGGGTGATTTCCCTTGGACAAAGCAATGAGGGCACCAGGTTGGCCTTGGTGGGGACATCACTGCAGAGCCTCTGTCACCTGGTAACCATCATGCAGCAGGTGTTGGC